CCCCAGCACCTCCCTACTTGCCCCAGCACCTCCCCACTTACCCCAGCACCTCCCCACTTGCCCCAGTAACTCCCCACTTACCCCAGCACCTCCCCACTTACCCCAGTAACTCCCCACTTACCCCAGCACCTCCCCACTTGCCCCAGCACCTCCCTACTTGCCCCAGCACCCCCCTACTTGCCCCAGCACCTCCCCACTTACCCCTAACTCCCCACTTGCCCCAGCAGGTCCCCCCTTCCCCCGGGGTGCGGGGGCAGCTCAGGGTCCCCGGCAGGTTTCACCCCCCGCTCGGCTCCTCCTCGTCCCCCCCGCACGTCGGGGTTGGGTTTCCTGTTGTGAGCGAACGGACGCGCAGACACCGCCCGACAGGGCCCTGCTCTGCCTCTGCCTCTCTCCCTGTCCTTATCCTTCCCCTTCTCCTCTCCCTCTCCCTTTCCTTCTTCTCCTTCTCCTCTTCCTCTTCTTCTCCCTTTCCCTCTCCTTCTCTTTTTCCTTCTTCTTTCCTTCTCCTCTTCTCCTTTTTCTCTCCCTCTCCCTCCTTCTCCTCTTCCTCTCCTTCTCCCTCTCCTTATCCTTCCCCTTCTTCTCCTTCTCTCCCTCTCCCTTTCCTTCTCCTTCTCCTTCTCCTTCTCCTTCTCCTTCTCCTTTTCCTTCTCCTTCTCCTTCTCCTCCTTTTCCTTCTCCTTCTCCTTCTCGTCTCCCTCTCCCTCTCCTTATCCTTCTTCCCCTCTCCCTTTCTTTCTCCTTCTCCTTCTCCTTCTCCTTTTCTCCCTCTCCCTCTCCTCTTCTTCCCCTTCCTCTTCCCCTTCCCCTTCCCCTTCCCTCCCTCTCCTCCTTCAAAACACAACCCCATTCCCACTGGACTGGGCTCCTGTCCCAGGAGCAGGACGGGACCCCAGAGCAGAGCAGAGGGATGTGGGGGGATCCAGTGGGTCTGTTCCAGCAAGAGCTGGGCTGGAACATCCCCTGGGAACTGGGCACCACTGGGACCTTGCTGGGCTTGCACCTGGATGGGGCCACATCCCCAACAGGGTCCCCAGGGGACCCAGGGCCCAGCTGGACACAAGTGAGAGTTGGTGACTCAATCACCCGCTGACATCATCCCTATTAATAGTGGACTTTGTGAAAATTAATTAATCCAAATTAATGAGGGGGTTGGAACTGCCCGAGTGTTCCCCTTTAACTGGGCTGTGGCCACCCTGGCCCGTTTCCCACCCGGGAGAACCTGCAGCTCTGCTGTTCCCATGGGAGCCCTGGTCCCCGTGTCCCAGCACTGTCACTTGTCCCCGAGCAAACCCCGGAGCAGGTGGGGACACCAGAGGACACGGGATGGGGGTGAGTCTGGGGACCATCCCAGTCACCCCGAATGCCCCAGGGGCTGTGTCCTGCTGTCCCCACCCCAGGGTGACAGGGAATGAGGCTGGAAGGAGCAGCCCCACCAGGAGTTTGGTCCCAAAGAGCCCAGCAGAGCCCGGAACCTCCCTCCCCAGGGATGATTTTTGGGGACCCAGAGCAGGGGAAGGTCCCTGACGTGATGCCACCCTCACCTGCTGAGCCCTGACACACTCACTCCACCTCCTCGTGGGGCTGAGGAGGCTCCGGGAAGCCCAGTGTCCCCACCCCAGTCCCACCAGCTCACGGGGGAGGAATTGGTTTCCTGCCCCCCCCTGGGGTGACAGGGGGGACAGGGACGGGGCTTCCGCCCAACCCCACGTCAGGGCACTGGGATGATCTCTTGGGAAACCTCTGAGGTGAGTCAAGCCCAGCAGGGACAGGGACAAGTTTGGGGTGAATCACCAGCCCCAAAGAGCCAGGCGGGCCAGTGACTCTCCCCCCCAGGAATTCGGGGGGTGCCAGGGACAGGCTGAGGAGGCAGCAGCTCCGCCACAGGATGCGGCCAAATCACAGGTGACAGGAGAAATGGCACCTCCTGGTCCAGGCTGGGATCCCTGCTCGGGGCTGTCCCCAAGGGCAGGGAGAGGTGACCCGGCCTCTGGGAACACCAGCACCACGGGGACCCCGGGGTGTGACAGCTTTAGGGG